CTTTCTTCTTGGCACAGAAAGGGACACCGTGCGGCAGTAGTCTGCTCCGCTAGACTACCTTCCGCCTTTTCTCGGTCGCGTCGGGACGAAAGAAAATTTGATTGCAATTTTGTAGAAAGCTTACAATTGAGAATTTGAATACATTGAAAGTAAATTGAATATTAATTGATGAAAACTGAACATTACAATTGACAAAAATAGAAAATTACAATTGCTGGTGCAGGGGGCGGACACCAGTGAGCTTGAAAGATTTTTGAATGACTAATACCCCCTATAATAGCATTCTGAACAAAAACCCAAGTGACGGGAGTAGACGTTTAAAAGACGAGGAATCATACTAATCTTTTACCAATATCAGAGCTATTTTACAATTAAAATAACTATTACAATGAAACGAAAATTACAACTCAAACTTGAAGTAATATTTACAATGTGCGGCCGAAGTTTGGCAAACTGCGGCTGCGATAGTGTCAAGGGGCTAAGTAAAGCTACGGTCCTTGACATTCTCCCCCATTTGTTTTGGCGACGTCCTCAGTGCCATCAATGCATGATATGCTTCAATTAATGGTTTGAAGGCTCCGAGATCTTTTGCTCTTTTCCAAGTATTCTCCTCGCTGCTGCATCCAATTCATTTGACCAAGTACTCCTGACGATCTTTTCTAGAAGCTCGAGTGATTCGATGGTCAAGAATAACTTCAACAACTTTCTTTCCAGCTTTCTTCAGTTCAAACACAAGTCGCTTTTGCTCATTTCTAGATGCGTCCTCCTTATCTGAAAAGTATGGCTTCAACACACTAACATGAAAGATTTTGTGGATTTTACACCATGAAGGGAGTTCAACTCTTTATGCAACTCTTCCAATCCTCTTCACGATGGGTAATGGTCCAATGTATTTTGGCGTCAATCTTGAATCCTTCCCTCTTGTTGGTTTGTAAACATTTTTGTCGGGAAGCTTAATCATTACCAGATCTCCAACATTGAATTCAATGAACCGGCGCTTTAGATCTGCAGCCTTTTTATACCATTTTTGAGCTTTCTCAAGATAATTCCGAGCAATTTCAATATTTCGTTTCCACTCTTGAGAAAAGTTCTTTGCTTGAGGGAACTTGGTACTTCGTTGGATATCCACTGTATGAGGGAGTAACGGTTGCTGGCCAGTAACAATCTCAAAAGGACTCTTATTGGTAGAAGAGCTCTTTTGGACATTGAAGTAAATCTGAGCTGCATCCAAAAGTTTTACCTAGTTTTTCTGCGAAGTAGAGATAAAGTGCCGAAGATATTCTTCTAGCATAAAATTGAAGCGCTCCGTTTGTCCATCAGATTGTGGGTGAAAACTAGAACTCATGTTCAAAGTTGAACCAAGAAATTTGAACAACTCAGTCCAAAATATGCCAGTGAAACGAGGATCTCGATCACTGACGATGTCTTTAGGCAGTCCCCAGTATTTGACAATATGTTTGAAGAAGAGTTGAGCTGTCTCTTCCGCGGATACGTACTTAGACACTGCAATGAAAGTTGCATATTTTGATAGACGGTCCACCACGACGATGATAGTGCCAAAATTCTCAACTTTTGGCAACCCAAAAATGTAGTCCATCGATATACTTTCGAATAGCCGGGTTGGGACGGAAAGGGGCTTCAGCAAGCCCGCATTTTTCTGATGATCTGCCTTATCTTGCTGACAAATAAGACAGATTTTTACATATGTTGCAATGTCATCCCACATTTGAGGCCAGTAGTATGCACGTTGCAGTAGTACACAAGTGCGTTCCTCTCCAGGATGCCCTGTCCATATCATGTCATGACATTCTGTAATTAGTGATTTCCTCAGACCTCCTCCTTTAGGAACATATAGGGGGTCTCCCTTCATCTTCACTAGTTCTCCATCGAGCCAGAACTGTCGAGTTTTACCTCGCTTGATGAGGTCGACTAAATATTGGGTAGTCGGGTCCTTCTCCATAAGTGCCCGAATTTGGTTTCTAGTGTTCGTGGAGACG